AATAAGACTTAACAATTGGGACCTTGTATACACCTGACTATAGAACCACTGACTATATAAGTCAGTAACTAGCAGAATGAGAAGGAGAATTTCAAATTAATGATTGTAAGGTAACATTTCAATATACTACTCTTAGAAACTCATATAACAAGCAAAGAAAAATCTTTACGGTTGCAGAAGATTTGAGCAAGACAATAAACAAACCTGATATATCTATGATTCCTGTATTGACACAGAGAACATCCAAGTTTTTTCTAAGCACATGTTGAATGATTTCAAAAATTAATCCTGGTTTCAGAAAAAAAATTATACACACTATGTTATTTTATCATAATCTACTTAAAGGGCAGTAGAAAAGTTATTTTTTTAAAAGATAGTAAAAATAAAATAATCTCTCTGTATGCTGGGAAATTAAAAACCACACTCCTAAATATAATGGATTAGACTGGAAAGCATAAGGGAAACTATATAATATTCTGAAACAAACACAAATGAGAATAATACATAAGAAAATTACATGATGTACTTGATGTGGTACTAAAAGAAAAGCATATGATGTTAAATGCTTACATTAAGGAACAAAACACATTGAAGATATGCAAACTAGGTATTCAGCAAATGTAGTTTAAAAAGAACAGGAGAGTAAATCAAAATAAAGTAGAAAGGGGAGACATTTTAAAAGAACAAAAATCAACAGAAAAAAAAAGGAGATGACTCATAAGCCAAAACTGTTCTTTGGGGAAAAACTTTTTAAACTGTGTGTGTGTGTGTGTGTGTGTGTGTGTGTGTGTGTAAATTATAGGAATAAAGGGAAAGTAATTCTCAAAAAGGAGATATAAACAGCCACAAGAGAGCCTTTTGTGGTCGTTCACTCCTGAAATGCTAGCACATTGGGAAACCAAGGTGAGAGGATCGCTGGGAGCCAGGAGTATGAGACCAGCCTGAGCAAGATGGATACCCCTCATCTCTAAAAAAAATAGAAAAATTAGCTGGGTGTGGTGGACATGCCTGTGGTCCCAGCTACTTGGAAGGCTGAGGCAGGAGTCTCTCTCAAGCCCCTGAGTTTGAGGGTGCAGTCAGCTATAATGATGTCACTGTGCACTAGCCTAGAAGACAGAGCAGCAAGACCCTGTCAAAAAAAAAAAAAAAAAAAAAAAAAAAAACAACAAAAACAGAATGCTATGGATAACTTTTACAAAAAAATTAAACAATAAGAAAAAAATAAGCAAATTAAGTAATAGTTAAGCAGAATAAGCAAATTATACTGAATTAATAGAGTAGGCAGTTAAAAAACAAAATCTCTCCTATGCCCTTCCACCCAAATGATGCCAAGCTCAGATTTTTCAAGTTTTAAGTGAATTGATGATCTCTAGTTTTTTTAAAGAGACAGGGTCTTGCTATGTTGCCTAGGCTGGAGTACAAAGGCTATCCACAGGAACAATAGCAGTGCCCTATAGTCTCAAACTCCTGGGTTCAAGGGATACTCCTGCCACAGCCTCCTGAATAGCTGGGACTGAAGGGATACACCACTGCATCCAGTATGATCCATATTTTACATAATCTGTTTCACAAGAAAAATAGCTCTCTTATTTTTTCTTTTAAAATTGTATATCCTTATTATTCAAACTGGAAAACAACAATACAAATAAAAAAAGAAAGATAGAAAAAAGAAGAAAATAATTTATAGCTTTGTCTCAGTTAAGAACATCCATTTTTTTTAAGAGCCCTGTTTAAAACAAGATAAAATGGAAAACAAGAGGCCATATTATTTTTTTAAGAAAATAAAGGATGTTGTATGGAATTTATTCCAAGAATAGAAGAAATGTTTAGCATTATAAGTCTGTCGGTGTAAGAGATCGATAAAGAACTACAAAGTCAGGGGTGGCATTTTAGAGAAAAAAAAAGAACTATGAGGTCATCTCTATAAATGCTGAGAAAACATTTGATAGAGTATCTTTCATTTTAAACATTTTTAACAGACTAGAATGAGAGGAGCTCTTCTTAAGGAGTAGCTACCGTGAGCTAACAATTAATTGTGCAAGTTTGGAAGGATTCCACAGAGTCAGAAACAAGACAAGAGTCCTCAGGCACTACTCCTATTCAAGATGGCATCACAGGGCCTGGCCAATATCATGAGACAAGGACAGGAAGTAAGAAGGGTAAGGATTCAATAACAAAACACGATTATCTTTGTTGTTTCAAAATAATATAATTGCCAACGTTAAATTCCACAGTAATCTATAAATAAATAATTAGATCTAATAAGAACTCAAGATGGTTGGTGGGCATAAAATATAAAATGAATATGAAAATGCATGCCTTTCTATAGACTAGTAATTTCAATCTGAAATTGAGATAGAAAAGCCAGACATCCTTCACAACATTCTGACAGATTCTATATCCAAGAATAAATATTTAAGATCTACATGAAGAAAACTATGACATGTCATTGAAGGACACAAAACAAGATCCATTTAAATGACGAGACAGGTATATGCTGTACTGCACATATTTTGTGATGACTCAATATGCTATATGCTCAATAAAATGTTCATACATTCCAAAATAACCTAAAAACTAAAAAAAAATGCCAAAAAAGTCTGCTGGATATTTTGTAGAGCATTATAAAATTCATATTGATAATAAAAAAAAAAAACTAGTCAAGATGATTCTCAAAAGGAAGAAAGAGAGAATAGTGGGCCTTGACTTAGTACCATATATGAGGACATATGAACCTGCAATTAAAAGAGTGTGGCATTAGTCCTGGTATAATGAGCAGGTTAGTAGAATGGAGTTAGACATTCTTTTTATTTTCTGGGAGTCTCTTTACTGACATTTTCTAATTGTCAATTGATAGTTCTTCAATGAATGCTTCTAGCCTTTTAGTCTGAACTTTTGTATCTTTGGGAATGGGAAGGGTGAATATGTTAAAATATTTCTATGATCCCAAGCTTAACTCATACTATTGGCTAAAGGAACCTGGTTGATTCATCAAGTTGGTGAGTGCTTTCAATGCAGAGAATGGGGCCTTTGTCTGCATAGAAGATGTTGGTGTGTCATGCAAGATAAGAAGCATCCCTTAAGATGGAGGAGGTGGTAGTTGAGTGGAGGTGTACGTATGATATTGGGAGAAAAGTACTGTGCAGTACTGTTATGGGCAGACTGAAAAGTAGAAATCTCATTGGTCCTGTGAAATGCAAGGTTTTGTTTTTGTTTTTACCTGCTATTGAAATTCATTCCTTAGAGTTATCAAGAAATAATGTCTTTAGTGTAATGGTTAAGAGAAGGGACACTGGAGCTAAACTGCCTGTGTCAGAAAGCCTCTGTCATTTATTAAGTGCATGACATTGGGCAGCTAATTTTAAGATTCACTTGATATACTCATGGGTAAAATTGGGATAACAACAGTGCACAGGTGTGTTATAAGGATTACTTATAAATGTGTCTGAGTGCTTACAAAAAAAAGTAAATGAATAAAAATAACTCTGAAGGGTTGTCTGCTATATGAGACAACAGCTGCATTGTCTTCTTTTGATTCTAGGGGCTTTTGCCCTCGCGGACCCTTTCCTCTATTAAAATAACATTATTTTCTTCAACCAAAAACTTCGCTTTTTCTTCTGACTTTAGAAGAAATTAAAATATTTTCGTGAGCCTCTAAAAATACTGTGGGCCCTAGGCACTGTGCCTACTGTGCGTGTGCCCTAATGGATGTCAGTCCTGCTTGCATCTGAAGATGAATTTTTTAAATATATATGTTCAATTAGGAAATAATTATACACACTTATATATATACATACATACACTTAATCCTTACACCAAGTGCCCTACAAACGTGAGTCCAATAAATAAGGATGGTTCAAGCAATGTCTCCTTGGAGTTATGACGGGTGTCTTCAACCTCTGGAGAAGCAGGGAAGTGCTAGCTCCCCAAGAAAACAGGGAGAGGCTGGAATATTGAAGCTGAAATTTGCACCCTGCTTCCTCAATCCTCTCCTCTTGGTTCGAGCCGTCAGAAAAACAGTCGAGAGAGGAGCAAAAAGACCAAGGGAGGGTTGCTGCCCTGTTTCTCGGTCTTCAAAATTCTCGACCCTCTCTTTTCATCTGTAACTGGCCCCAGCCGACTTTTCACTCTCCAAGTCAGGTGGTCTGGAGGCCGCCAAAAGAGAGGGTGTGGGTCGGCCTGGGAACCACCAGGGGGCGACCAACCGGCAACCTTCCGGACGCGGGCGATGGGCGGATTTAAATGTACAGGCTTCTCCGGGGCCAGAGTGACGTAACGTGGGCGCCGGCGTAACGAGCGGCGCTGTTGTGGGTAGAGCTGGGGAGCGGCAGAATGGCGTTCTGAGCTAGCCAGCGTTGGGGGGGGGGGGGGGGGAGGGGGCGTGGCGAGACGGCCCTATGAGGAAGCGGGCGTGGAGGGGCGTGGCGGGCCCTGAGAGTCATCCCCACACTTTGGTAGTGGCACTGAGAGTGGGATGGCGGCTGCCCTTTTTCAGGATCTCTCACCTCCAGTTTGAAATTCTGTGCGATTTTTCGGCTTTGTGTGGCTATATGGTAGTTGCATTTTAGAGCAGTTCCATGTCCTTTAAAACAAAGTTCTCCCAAATGTGGTCTCTGGACCAGCAGCATCAGCATGATCTGGTTTTAGAAGTGCAAATTCTCAGGTCCTACTCAGATCTAATGAATCAGAAACTATAGGGATGGGGTCCAGTAATCTGTTTTCAAAAATCCTTGAGGTGATTTTAGTGCACACTCAAGTTTGAGACTGCTTCAAAGTATTGTGTTTCTCTTAATCCAGCTACTGGAATCAACCTCTTAAAAGGCAATTTAGCCTAAACTAAGCTGTTTTAACTTTAGGATCATTACCAAAGCCAAACCAGTGCTTGGGCCTTACCCACTCAGACCTTGATGCCATAAAGTGAAGATAGGTAAATAAGTAGCTAGATAGATGTATAGGAAGGGAAGACCTTAGAAAGATTTGAATCAACAATGAATGCAGAATTTCAATTCTCTGAAGATTTTATTAATATTAATTATAACATTTCATTTACAGACTTTCTGCCATCCTCTCATTCAGGCTTTTCCTTGCAAAGGTAGTCCATGGTAAATAATGAATTCCCAGTAACTAGTTCTGTACAGTAGTAAATTCTATTTTTGTAACTCAAAAAATAAAATGAAAAAGCTGAAAACCTTGTTTACTTTCTTCCACTCAGGTAATGATCTTTTGTTGAATCAGTGTACAGCAAACCAGGATGGGTTGGATTTGGATGGGATACTGTATGACACTAGTCAATCATTCTCAGGCAGATCAGACTTTTCATATTTCATAACTTCTATGAATAGATTCATATTTGCAGTTATTTTATGCATTGATTTCTTCTCTGCATTCATATCTCTCCCCTGATTGAAGAAATAAAAAGGGTTTAATTGTTAGGTGCTGAATCTCTGCTTCAGTGTTACCTACACTTTAGTAATTATTAGCATTAACAGATAATGACTCAAATCATGCTTAGTCAAGAGATATCACTGAATAATATGATCTTTGTTTCAAATCCTCCAACTATCTCTCTGGGGTGGGATTCAAATAATTCAAAAGCTCATATTTTCTCCTTTTAGTTTTTGACCTGAAAATAGTTGGACACATTAATTTTATTTTATTTTTTCTTTTTCTTTTTTTCTTTTGAAGCAGGGTCTCACTCTGTCACTCAGGCTGGAGTGCAGTGGTGTAATTTTAGATCACTGCAACATACAAATCCCAGGCTCAAGTAATCCTTTTACTTCAGCCTCTTGAGGAGCTAGGACTACAGGCTCCTACCACAACACCTGGTTAAATTATTTTTTTATTTTATTTTGTCTGTTTGTTTTTTTGTGGTGACAACAGTCTCACTATCTTGCCCACGCCGGTCTCGAACTCCTAACTTCAAGGAATCCACCTGCCTTAACCTTCCAAAGTGCTGTCATTACAGTTCTGAGCCACCAGGTGTGGCCCGTTTTTCATTTGAATTCAGTAAAACGAAAAATATAATAATTGCTCACGATTGCTAAGTGCTTACTATATGTCCATCACTCTTTTAAGAGCTTTTTCATGAACTATCTCAATTAATACTTGAAACAACTTTAAGAAGGGGTCTACTGTTATTATCTTCTTTGAATAAACAAGGAATGTGAGTCCCAGAAAGTCTGAGTTACACCTTCAATCTCATTCAATTGAACCACTGTGACAATTCATCCCTGGGCTCTAGTCCTGTTGTTATAGACATATGTGCACTTTAATTACTTAAGTAATTATGTCATGGCAGGGCCTGGTGTCTCATGTTTGTAATCCTAGCACTCTGGGAGGCCGAGGCAGGAGGATTGCTCGAGGTAAGGAGTTCAGGACCAACCTGAGCAAGAGCAAGATCCCGTCTCTACTAAAAATAGAAAGAAATTAGCCAAACAACTAAAAATATATAGAAAAAATTAGCCGGGCATGGTGGCACATGCCTGTAGTCCCAGCTGCTTAGAAGGCTGAAGCAGAAGGATTGCTTGAGCCCAGAAATTTGAGGTTGCTATGAGCTAGGCTGATGCCATGGCATTCTAGCCTGGGCAACAGAGTCAGATTCTGTCTCAAAAAAAAAAAAAAAAAAAAAAAAAAGTAATTATGTCATGTTGCAAATACTTTTTGAGTCTACTGTGTGCCCAGAGCAGCCTTGAGCATTAGGGAGTCAGCAGCAAAAAAAGAGAATCTCCCTGCCCTGATGGACCTTGCAGTCTTGAGAATGGGATGGGCAGGCAAACTATAAATAAAATTTATGTTAGTGCTAAGCATAATGAAGAAAAATGAATAAAGAAACTTAAGATTGGAGATAGAAGGGTGTTATTTTTACATTTGCTGGTCAGAGAAAACCTCCCATATGTGGTCACATTTTAATCCACTTAATCCAATATACAAGAAACGTGGGAAGTATTTTAGTTACTATGTGACAAATATGACACCCAGCTGAGACATCAAATAAATAAAAAGGTCTATTTACTTTTCTGGTTCTTTTTTCCTTTTTTTCCCCTACACTTTGCTGCAGACTTGTACTTGGTCTCTAAACTTTTCCCCTCCCTGTTATAGTAACAGTTTGCTTCTTCCATTCCTTTTCTGAGTCCTTCTCAATTTCACCTTTTCTCTCTCCATGTGCCTCTCTCTTTCCTAGAAAGTAGCATAATTTGGCTGTAATATTTATAAAATATTGCATTGTATTTATGAAGTACAGCTTAACATTGCCAAAATTTTAAACAAAATAATATTAATATTACTGTATTTTGTTTATTACTCAAAAACTGAGATAAATATGTTTGTCTTAATGCAATTGTTGGGTCGTAGTTGTCTGTTCTTAGTGCGCTCTTGGCTGAAGAATGACCAGACACACCAAAGTAAGGCAAGCATGGGGTGAAGTTTATTGAGTAAAATAAGATACGTTCGTCAGACAATGAAGCGCAAGGACCCCCTGTCATGACAGGAGGGCATCAATTATGGTCTGGGGTCCTGTATTATATTGCCTAAGCTGGGTCTTCCTCTGGTTCAAACATCACCATTAAACCACTTTGATGGACAGTTGGGAGTTATATAACCTGAGTCTTACTGCTTATGCAGATCTCCCATGAGCCTGTCTGAAAGCCCATTTGAGGAAGTGAATCACAATGTAGATTTAAACTAATGACATGACAATTACCCTTAGGTTGTTCTAGGTCACCTTCCAGACCCTATTGTCCTGTGGCCTAGGGAATCCTCTGCATTCTTCTGCATTGGGCCTGCTAAATTCTGATTGGCAGATCGGTAGGGCGTTGCCTCCTCCACCAGACGTGGCAATTGCTCCAGGAGTCTGTCTCCTCCTGGGGAGGGCCGAAGGCTCACACAGTCTACCTAACGAAATGAGTCTGGTAGTCCGCTTGTGAGTCCAAGTCTATTCACTTGCCTGGAGAGTTCTAAACTACGAGAATTTTTTTATTTATTTTTATTTTTTTTTAGGCTTTAGTGAATGAGAAAGAAAAATGAAAGCAATTAGCTGGAAGTCTCCTTGACTAAGGCCTCTCCAGGAGGTCCAGTACCAACTTAGCCCTCTGTTTCTCCAGTGCCCAAGCCAGTGCCTAGCCCAAAGACATTCAGTGATTATCTCTTTAATAAGCTGATTTATAAATAAACACTGAGCAATAGCCATGATACATTTTACTAGGGAATTTTGACACATTTCAAGAATCTCCCTATAATCCTTTATGACTAAATTCTTCTATTCAGTTTCTTCTCTTTTTCCCACCCTCTGCTCTTAATCTGCTAACTTTAAGCACTGTATTTTTTACTTGGTCAATTATTAATCTTAAATTTTATATATTAAGTAAATTATTAATATATCTTTAACTTTTTGTTCAATTTTAAATTTTATTAGTTTGTTTCTTCCATATTTTCATAATCCACAGTATTTTCTGAGATTATAATTTTTACTATAAGTATTTTTCTACTTAAATTTGTTTCTTATTTCAAAAGACCAAACATATTTGTTGGACATTGTAACAACAATCATGCACCAGAGAATTGCTTTACAAATTGCTAAATTAGCTTAGGACTTCCCAGATGAATTAATTCAATACATTCAATACTTTTTTTTTTTTAAGTACCTGCTATGTGCTGCACTAATGTTTTATATAAATTGTAGAGACACTATTTTGTCCTTTACAACCTCGGGGGGAAAAGTCCATTATGGGAACACTTGAGGATTTTCTTGGTCTTTGTCTCAGGAAGTAGTGGTCAATTGTAGTCTAAATTGTCAGAATTCTTAAAGATCTACCATTTAATCAGATCTACATGATTTTACAGCCAATTTCTACCTATTCTTTCAAGCACAAATAAATACTTTTTACACTCAGATATTTCAAGAATTAAAAAAAAAATTGGGCGATGTTAGTTGTTATAAAATATGTTCACAAATTGCTTTACTATCCTTACCTGAAGGGTAGACTCTAATTCCCCTTCTGAATATGTGCCAGATATAAGTGACTTGCTTATAATGAATAAAATGGCAAAGTGTGAGAATTTCCAAGCTTGTTCACAAAAGACATTGTGGCTTATTTCTCCTCATTCTTTCCCTTTGTTTTCTCTTTGTAAGGATAACAGAGGCTATGTTTTGAAGATAGTTGGTGAGCCTTTGAAGAGGTCTAAGTGGCAAGTATCTGAGGCCACCAGGCAATGGCCAGCTCAAACTTGCCAGATATGCCAGTATGCCATTTTAGAAGGGAATCCTGAAGCCACATTCAAAGATTTGGATGATTGCAGCCTATGCTTATATCTTGACTCCAACCTCAAGAAAGGCCCTAAGTCATATCCACCCAGCTAAGTCAATTCTAGATTTCTGACCCACAGAAATTCAATGAAATATTAGATCTTCATTAATTTAAGCTGCTCAATTTTGGGATAATTTGTAACAAAGCAACATATAACTAATAGAGACAGCTGCATAATTAATTCTATAAGGCTACCATAATCTTAACAACAAAACCTGGCAAAGGTAAACCCAAAAGAGAAAATCATAGAATGATTATATATGAATAGAAATGGAAAAAATAATCATGTAAACTATTAACAAAATTTATCCAGCTATTATTTAAGATAATATAACATGATCAAATAAGATTTGGCCTAGGAATGAAAGTATGAATCAACATTATGAAATCTATGTATACTTCACTGCAACAGGTTAAAAAAGAAAAAGCATATGATTACATCAGATGTGAAAAAGAGATTGGATAAAATTAATAAATCATTCCTAAAAATAATTCTTAAAACATGATTAGAAGGAAACTACATTAACACAAGGAAGACTATGCATATGAACACATATACCCAGACACAAAAGTAAATATTATTATAAATCATAAAATTATCAAAGCCATTTCTATGACAAGGAGGAAAAGACAATGCCTGCTAGCATATCTAATATAGCATATTGTTTGTGATTGTAGCTAACATAATAAGATGATAAAGCAACTAATAGTTATTGGAAAGAGTTTCCAACATTTTTATTTGGTAATAATAGTATTATATGTAATTAAAATCAAGATAGTCTATTAAATATTGATTAGGATTCATAGACTGATAAAGTTAACTAGACACAAAATACATGTAAATAATCAATTGCCCAATTATCCTACCACATGAAGAATTTCTAACAGTGCTTTAGTCTAATGCCATATGTCAATATGGGACAGAAGGCACAATGTTATGAAAATCAATATTACATTTGTTGTAAGAATTTATAGAGCTTAATTCAGTGTCACACAGTGACCCCTATTTTGTTGTATTATTTTAATTTTTGTTCTATTATTGTATACTCTATTTAAATTAGTTTTAATTAAATGAATGATCCATGAATTCTAGACAATTTTCAGCCATTATCTTTTAAATCTCACATCTGCATTATTCTTTCTGGTTATCATCCTTCTAGTACTATGAGTAAATCCATGTGAGATCATTTTATTACTAATTTCAAGTCTTAAATTCACTCTTACATTTTTCTTTCTGCATTTTGGATAATTTCTTAAGATCTGGTTGTATAGTTCATTAAACTTCTTCTGCTAGGTCCAATTGGCTATTAATCCCATCTAATAAGCTTTTAATTATGTGTTATAATTATGTTTATTTTCTAGAATTCCTATTACATTCTTTATTTATCTGTTCACTCTGTATTTTTAGCCCCTCAGTATATTTTATTAACAGTTTTTAGTTTACTTTTTATGTCACTAAATTTAGTTATATAAAAGTCTGTATCTGTTAATTCTCTCTTTTTACTCCTTTTGCTTTGTTTGTTGCTCTTGTTCTTGATCATACTTCCCTGTTTCATGATATGTTTGGTTAATTTTGATTGTGAAGGTACACATTGATTTTCTTTGATATTTTATCTAGGTGCATTTGTTGAGGCCTAAAATTAAGCTTGTTCTTTCAGAGATGTCTTTTATTTCCTTCTATCAGGAGTTCCTGGGCACAAAACTAGCCTGGGATATCCCTAAATTAAATTTTTAGCTTGTGTATTTTGAATCCCTGTGGTTTGAATGGTGGGAACAAGCAAGCATCAGGTTGTTTTGTAGTCCATCCAAACCTCAGCAGCACAATCTACCCTGCTCAGCACCCAGGTTCAGAGCTGCCTCTTTCTTCTGCAATCATTCTGTGGAAAATATTTGTGTATTTCCAGTTCATCTCTCTACCCAGACAAGGTAGCTTTTGGTTTTGTGTCTCAACTTTACATTTATCAGGTTCCACACCCTGGTCAGTTTCCATACAACATCCTAAAAACCAAAGCTCAGCTTTGGGTAAAAGTTAGCTGTGGTGCTTCCAGTTTCACATGGGCCAAGTCCCTGGGTCTGAGTTCCTTACTTTCTTAGCCACTCTTTATTACTATTAAGAATTTAAAAAAATATTACCCAGGCTTTTTATTAGTTGTCCATCCAGGTAACATGAAAACCTGTCCCATAATCCATAAATCCCTGTTTGTCTATGACAGCATGAGGTTTACACAAAGATTTCTAAACTCATTCCTCCATCAGTCAATTATTAACAACCACCTAAATTCAGTGTCTCAGTAAGCACTTTACTTCAAGCCTAGCCTTGCACCTCACAATTTTCTTATCTAAAGCGTTGATTCCTTTTCTTCTGGCCACTCCTCTCCCAACTCTCTTGTCTCTTTTCCTAGATATTTTCCCCCCACAATCATCCATTCCTCTGTAGTGAAAACAATTTATCCAAGGCATAATGATATATATAAAAAAAAAAAACAAAAAAAAAAAACAATTTATACCATCATCCTACCTTGTGCAGCAGAAGCCACATCCTGCTAGAAGGGGTTTTCCTTCCCTTTCTACCTTCTCTTGTGTTTGGCACTCAGGGACATCCAGGAAAGGGTGAACCATATTGCAAAGGGGGCCTCAGTCCTAAGGTAACTATTGCCTATCTGCAGTTAGGCTCCTTAATGCATTGAACATTTGGCTTTTCTCTTGATACCCAGAGTATTTTCAAACTGAGTGCTGCTAAAAGACGACTATGAACTAAGACGTTTTGAGGAAGTATAGTAATTTGACAGAATTTTATGGAATCTCCAAGACAACTTCCTTTTTCTCTCCCTCTGCACCTTTCAGGTAAAATGTAGGATTCACCTTTCCCTCCCTGACTCGTAAGCAAACCAGAAATCTTTGTAATACTCCTACGAAAACTCACATTACTTTCTACCTTTTTTTACAGTTCCTACATAGCAAAAATTTTGAGAGAAAATGAAAAAATTTTTTTTAAAAAGGATGGCAAAAAACCCTCTGAACATAAGGAAGTTGTCAGGTAGCATGCTCTTTTGTGCTCAGGGTTAGCAACCATCACTGAGTCTCAACATCACAGCCAATTTGGAGACCTACACACAAAAACGAAGAGCTGTACATTTAAAATGACATCTCCAAATCATACTAGTATCTAGTCATGTGACACTAAATAAGATAACGATTCTATTGAACTTGTACGTGTCCATTAATGAACACTCAATTTCTGGTGGCTATTGCTATTTCCTGTACTTTACAAGTACTCAACAGGCAACACTAACATACCAAAAATTGGTAACGTAGTTTCAAGTATGGTGGTGAGAAAACCAAAGAATCCTTTAAACGAAAGAATTACAACTCATTTGTTGAAAAATATGCGTGGCTCTTAAAAGAGCCTTTGGGGTTGGGTGTAAAGACGCTTACTTGGCAAGTTTACTTGGAGCTGGTGTACTTGGTGACAGCCTTGGTGCCCTCGGACACGGCGTGCTTGGCCAGCTCTCCCGGCAGCAGCAGGCGCACCGCCGTCTGGATCTCCCTGGAGGTGATGGTCGAGCGCTTGTTGTAATGCGCCAGGCGAGAGGCCTCGCCCGCGATGCGCTCGAAGATGTCGTTGACGAACGAGTTCATGATGCCCATGGCCTTCGAGGAGATGCCCGTGTCGGGGTGGACCTGCTTAAGCACCTTGTATACATACACCGAGTAACTCTCCTTACGGCTGCGCTTGCGCTTTTTCCCGTCCTTTTTCTGCGCCTTGGTCACCGCCTTCTTGGAGCCCTTTTTTGGGGCTGGAGCGGATTTCGTGGGTTCAGGCATCCCAGCACTAAAAAACTACACTATCCCGAACACCTGGGAAAATAATCACCCCCAGCGAAGCCAGGTTCATTTATAGACGCGGTATTCAAATGAGGTTAATAAGATTTCGTTTATGATTGGATTAATTTTAGTGTGTCGTCACAAATGCCAATGTAAACGACACTTGAAGGTCTGTCTTTTCATTGGCTACCACGTTTCTCTACTTTGACCCAATCAGAAAGCCCAGACTAGGCTACCCAAAGCTACTATAAATAGGTCTCTTCAAGCAGGCTTCTGGAGCAGAGCAGTTATCTTTATGGGTCGGCAGTATTGTGGAGTCAGCACTCTATTCTCAAAGACGCCTCTACAAATGAGGTCTGAACCTGGAACCCGTGTTTATCTGTGCTGCAGCTAGCCTTTAAGATTATTTTGTTGCTCCTGCAGCTAGTCGCTCATGACAGCTACAGCAATAACTGTAGGCTGCTTTACTGTTCCAAGTCCTCTCCCTTCCCTGTCTACCGTAAATTCTGGAAATTGCTGCTTACGAGAATACCCTTCCCCAATCTGGCAATTCTACATTTTGGTTATACCCTAAATCCAAGTTAAGCTATATTGCACTAAGTAAACACTGCAAGTGTGCCGCTTAATGAGCTCTGCTCTTCCTTACCGCGTGCCCTGCATTTCAATATGGCACTAATTGGCTAGCATCCAGCACCAAAAATGGGTGCATGGTATTCGCGCGGGAGCTCTGCAGTCGGAGCAAACAGCTCAGAAACGGCCGGACTTTTTCTCTGGGCTTCTCCCAGATTCTTACACTAAAATGAGCTCTCCAAATCACACGCATACGAAAACAAAAGTACGGAAACCCTTCCACCCTCCCGGCTTCCTTCCCCGGAGGCCCGCCCCTCCTTAGTGGCGTTTTTCCTCCAGCCACGCCCCCTAACAAAGTGTAACAGCTCTTTTACTGAGATAGGTGGGTGGCTCTGAAAAGAGCCTTTGGGTTGTGTTGAGCGTCTAAGCAGTTGGCCAAAGGACTTTTATTTCTTCTTGGCTGCCGCCTTCTTTGGCTTGGCTGCCTTGGGCTTGGCGGTCTTTGGTTTAGCCGCCTTGGGTTTCACCGCTTTGGCCTTCGCTGGGCTCTTAGGCGCCTTCTTGGGCTTGGCTGCTTTCGCCTTCTTAGGGCTCTTCGCTTTTTTGGCTCCTGCAGCTGCAGCGGGCTTCTTCGCCTTCTTTGGGGTCTTCTTGGCGCTCTTCTTCGGGGCGGCTGCTCCTGTCGCCTTCTTGGGCTTCTTTGCCGCTCCTGCAGGCTTCTTGGCCTTGGTTGCACTTGCCTTTTTAGCTCTGGGCTTGGCTTCCCCGGTGGCTGCCTTCTTGTTGAGTTTGAAGGACCCCGAGGCGCCGGTGCCCTTGGTCTGAACCAGGGTGCCCTTGCTCACCAAGCTCTTGAGACCGAGCTTGATACGGCTGTTGTTCTTCTCCACGTCATAGCCAGCGGCTGCCAGCGCCTTCTTCAGAGCGGCCAAAGACACACCGCTGCGCTCCTTGGAAGCGGCAACAGCCTTGGTGATGAGCTCGGACACCGGAGGCCCAGACGCTTTGCGCTTCGCCGCACCTGCAGACTTGCGGGCCTTTTTCTTCACGGGTGCCTTCTCTGCAGGGGCCGGAGCGGCAGGCGCTGCAGGCGCAGTCTCGGACATGTTGAAGGCGGGCGTGAGGAAGAGCAATTAGAGCCGGAAGCAGAGGCACTGGCCGGGACTCGGGCCGCGGCGCTGCGCCCGCCCGTTTATATAGGGCGGAGCTGCGCCGTGATTGGTGCGCTGTCCAGCCCGCCTCGCTGGCAGCCGCAGAGTGTCCTCTTGGATCCCGAGTTGTGTTTGTTACACCTCAAAAAAAGCCAAAAATATCAAAATTCTCTACACTGAACTACCCAATTTTTCTCAGATAATGTTCCCCGAAGCCTCAGGCTTCACGCAGAACTCAAATTATGAGGAAAGCACAAAACCTTGTGCCAGAAACTAGCAATATTTCCCGCCGTGCTCGGCAAATTTCAACTCAGAGAAACAAAACTTTCTATTTTCTTCGTAAATTATAAACTGATCTTTAACTGTGGAGTTTTCTGACCTCTCTAATATGATTCTTCAAGTGGTTAGCTTCTTATACGTCCAAGAAACATGTCACTGGCACTAAGATTTTTATTACAAATCTGCACTTAAGTGAGGGAAGTAACACAGGCTCCTCGGAGAGTCCTGCCTATTGAGCCGAGGGCATTTGAGTTCATCAAACTGGTTTAGTTTAATGCCAAACAAATTATTGCCTATTTGGGGTTAAATTTTGGACCCCTGGGACATCAGTCTATGCAGCTATGGTTTTATTTCCGTCCGCTACACCTGAGTTTTTAAATAATTCCTTTGGATAATTCTTTCTCTTTCTGCTCCCAAGGGTTGGGGGCGGGGCGGTTGCTTCTCTCCTTTGGACAAGTGCTCCATGGGTTGAGATACCTTGATTTCAGGGTATTTGGGAGGGTAGGGGAGTCCAAAACATACTCAGGGTACAGAGATGAAAAAGGATTAATTTTCAAATATGTGTCCATAAAGTCACTGGAAGTGGAGGTGCACTTTACTTTGAAGAATTTATCTGCAGCCTTGCTGAGTGTTTTTGTCATATGCTTCAGGACCAAATTGTAATATACTAGTTAGAGCTGAACTTGAGCAATGATCATAAGGGAAAATAAATAAGAACTGTAGATCAAAACATATATATTCCCATTATTAGAGAAACACAGACCCTGTTATGACCGAATAGCTGATGGATGACTAGTCCACTCACCATACATGATATCAATCTCCATGAAGATTATAGCCCAGTGCTTCCCAGAGCTCCATAAAAAGGAAAATAAGTGACTTGTAGGGATTAAATGACAAGTTCAAATTTTGATCTCAGAAGCAGAGCTTTGAGAGGCTGCTCAAGCTAAGTCACTGCCCTCTAAAGATAGCAGCGAAAGATGCCATCTTTTGAAAGATGTCTGAAAGAATGAGTTTGTTTAGGTAGTTGTGCAACCAAGGAAGAATATAAATTGGCAATGACAGCTCAATGAAAACAATTATTTTTGAAAAACAATCTGGCTGGAATTGTCTTTTAAAAACTGCAAGCCATCTTCTGTGGAAACAAAATGCAATTTTACCCAGTGCTAAAAGTGCTATTCTAATGTTCTGTAGATGTAACTGTAACATGGTATAGGATATCACTTTAAATTTAGTTCCATTTCCCCAAATCTTCTCCACAGACACAAACTCTGCTACTGAAATGCATAGAATACATAAGTTTGATATAACATGAATGAAATGTTTCAAAATAGTCCTGTTTAAATTAATAATGAATTTGGTATAAAAGTGATGTAAATTACCAATATTTCTTAAGCCTTAATGTGTAAATATTTTCAATGTAATTTGTGCACACTAGGACAAAAATATATGCCCCTTGGTATTTATTGAAATAAAAAAGGTGGTGGATAAATCTCCAAAAGAGACTAGGGAAACTGTATGTGAGCATTTGATTCCGGAGTGGTAGGATTATACCCATTTCTTATGACAACAAAAACCACTCCTTTAAATGGCTGGAATTTGCATGCTATGTTGAAGTTCGCTTTCAAATGCCTCACTTTATCCTATGTATTCCCTACTCCTTGCAGGGACTTAAATCTCCAAATTACGGGAACTTTCAGCTCACCTCTGCTTGCTCCCTGTGGTGCTGTATGTTTTCTGACAAATAAAGCAATTGGACTTAGAGAAGGCATTGAGGATTGGTCACTGTTAAATCAAGCATTTGTTTGACACTTCTTTATGATGAAATACAAGCAATATCAAAAGCCTTCATTTTCTTAATGATCTGCCAATAGGCTGGCTACATTAAAACTATGTGTGTGCACATGCATGTTCATGTGTGTGCTTTAGATGTAGGTTTCAAGACCTTGTTCCAGATGATTCTGATCTAATAACTCTCCAGGGGGTCTTCAAAATATAAATATTTAACAAAATCCTTATGTCACTCTCATGCCCAATCAAGTTTGGGAATCACTGCTGCTGTCACTAGAGGTGACCAATAGGGCAACAGTGTTTCTTGACATATGAGTGCTCCCATGGATTTCTGGGCTTGCCTGTGAGATCTTGGAAAAGATGTTCATGCTGGTTACCACATATTGGGAGGATGGGGACAGCATTAGTCCAATCCTGACTTCCTTGAATTCACACTTGACTGGCAACTGTAGTGGGCTTAAGAAGGAAAAAGGAGAGTAAAGTTAAGCTTCCAATAATTAATTATTTTTCATCCACAGAGAGTGGGCTAAACTTTGGCTATCTATGGACTACCTGAATCCTCTACTAAAGAGTCTCTACTCTTTATTTCATTTTTAACATTCTTAATAATGATTATCTTTCCCACTTATTGGCTACTATGTGCTTCCTATATTCTTTGTCAATGCAACAATCTTATGATAGAGGTAGTGTCTCCACTTTACACTTGAAGAAATGCATATGCAAAAGTTAAAGAATTCTCTCAAGAAGACTGTTGGTAACAGGTACATTCCAGATTCCAGTTCTCATAGGTCTGACTTCAAAGCATATGCTCTTATTAACCAGTGTTTTCCAGACTGCAGGTCTGAACAAGTATTAGAAGTTGTGAAATCTAGTTAGTTGTGCAAGGCTAAAATATTTATTTTTTTTAATTAATTAGAATAGAATAGAAAATGCCAGAGTTCATGGCTTGTAGTTTTAGTTATATTCATAGCTCTTTGTGTGCTAGGTCCCTATGTAAAGGCAGTTCTTGCTGTGTAGGCTTGTATGTTCAGATTGGTTACTATGTTTTCCTCATGCACTTTTTAAAGTTTTTGTAGTCATGAAATATTCTCAGGTGTATTATTTTTTTATCAATGTAAGAAAGTAATTTCCTATCATTGACATTTTTAAACCTCTAAGGAGTCCTGAGTGATAGAAAACAGGGAACACTTTTGATCATTTTTATTTTAAAAATGATATCAACTGCATTAGGTGGAGCAACATGATTTGTAGAAAAGTTGAAAGGAAAGGGAAGATTGTGTTTAGTTTCTTTTACTCCACAATTGTGAGTTTCAAGTGCCTAATTCTGGACTTTTGCTATTTTAATATGATGCTATTATGATTGTTTTATTAAATATAGAGTTTGGAAAAGAGGTGCTTTATACTATACAAAGGAGCTACATAGTATCTAAAACATAGACTTTCTTTAAGTCAACAATTAAAATTGAAGGTTGCATATTCAGAGTTATTTATTGTAGCATTGTTTGGAATTATAAAATATTGAAAACAACTTTAATGTACATACATAAGAGATTGATCAAATAAACTAGGGCATATTCACACAGTGAAGTAATATGTAGCTACAAAAATGACTGAGGAAGCTCTCAATGAACTAATATAGAGTGAATTCCAGGATATATATTTAAGTGATAAAGCAAAGTGCAAAGGAATATTTATAGTATGATACCCTTGTGTGAGAAATAAGGAAATGTAAGAAAACACACAATTTTCTGTTCATTGGCACAAAAGAAATACAAGAAAAATAACCCAAAAACTAGAAAGATTGGTTCCTTATGGGAGGTAGGTAAGAAAGAAAAGGGTAGAAACAAGGAGGAATGGGAAGAGGGTAGCAGAGGTAAGAAGGGAGTGATGCTTTTTTTAGTATAACTCTTTGTATAATTCTGAATATTATAGTAATGTTTTATATACCCGCTAAATAAACTATTAAATAAACAAACTATTAAAACCAATAGAAATGGGGAAATCCAAAATGGAATACAAGCACTAACAAATGAACCAAACTGTATTAAATTAATGACAAATTAATAACAATAACACTGAG